CGGGGTGTGTCTGAACTGACTAGTCGCAAGTCGGAGATCGAACTGGAGCGACTCGTACCATGACTGGGTCGCCGAGCCGCAAGTCGGGAAATGGACTGGGGCGGCTCGGTTTGAACTGGCGAGTCGCAAGTCGGAGATCGAACTGGAGCGACTCGTACCATGACTGGGTCGCCGAGCCGCAAGTCGGGAAATGGACTGGGGCGGCTCGGTTTGAACTGACGAGTCGCAAGTCGGAGATCGAACTGGAGCGACTCGTACCATGACTGGGTCGCCGAGCCGCAAGTCGGGAAATGGATTGGGGCGGCTCGGTTTGAACTGATGAGTCGCAAGTTGCCTCGCGTTGGCGCTGTGCTTAAGACGCAAGTTGGCTGGATCGTAGCATTGTACCTGGGAGACATTCCGCTTTGTCGTCTTCCGAGGGTAGGGGCGCGGGCGCCTTAAGTTGTGGCAGTGGGTGTACGGCGCTGCGCGCCACGTGGCGCTCCGAGGGGGGGTGGCGCAGCTCTTGGGGATCAGGTGCTCCTGGGCGGGATCTCCAAAATCGGTCCATCTGGGTTCCTGAGGCGCGCTGCTGGCTTCGAGGGCTGCGATTTATTTTTTCTTCCTCGGGAAGCTCGACCGTCGTCCATGGCTTATTATACATAAGCTTTCCCCGGAGGGACTCCCTTGTTATCGCTGGGTTGCTGTCATTTTGTCCAGCCGCCGCTGCTCTCTGTTTGCTCTATTCCTCGTCTCAGGCCTTTCCCCATCGTCTTGAGGTTAGGATGTCTCCGTCTTCCTCCTTCTCTTCTTCATCCTCTACCTCTTCTTTATCCTCTACCTCTTTTTCCGAGGGCCCCGGGGTTGGGCGTTTGTCTCCGGGGAACGTACCCCTAGAAGTCGGGGGAAGTTCTGCCCTGCTTGAGAGGCTCAAGCAGTGGCATGATGTGGACTCGGTGGTGACGGAGGAGCTTCTGGGAGAGCTTCGGGCTCGCTATTGTATCCCGGAGGGTTATAACCTGTCCGCCCCTCGTCCGGGTCAGCGCCCGTATGACCAGTTTCCCCAAGGGTTCGGGCTGACGGCGGGTGCCCTAGAGGCGGGATTACGGTTTCCGCTCCATCCCGTGATCGGGGACTGTCTCCGTAAGTGGGGTATATCGCCGTCTCAGATGGCGCCAAATTCCTGGCGTTATTTAGCCGTCTTCCTTGGTGAGTGTCGGGCGGCCGGGATAGAACCGTCCAGGGATCTATTTCTGGCCTGCTTTCGACTGTGTCGGGGTCGGGGCGGCTATTACCTGGCCGCGCGTAGTGGGTTTAAGATCAGCGACGCCCCTTCCAACAATAAAGGCTGGAAGAGCCGCTTTTTCTTCGTCAGTTGCGATTGGGGGTGGGGCTTCAGCACTGGGTGGACCTCCCGCTCTGTCGACAATGTCCTCCCGCTGCTTTCTGGCAGGGAGTCGGCGGATGTGGATCGTCTGAGGGGCATTCTGTCTTCTTCTCGGGCAATCGGAGAGATGACCGAGGAGTGGCTGGCCAACGCGGGGTTGAGCCCGGTTGCCGGGGGTATGGTTATCTTTATGCTGCATATAGTTTTTTCCTCGAGCCGTCTGACCAACCGGGTTTTCTCTTGCAGAAATGGTGGACCTTCAATCTGTGAAGAAGGCGTCTCAGACCCGGTCCAAGGTGGCCCCGCCTCAGAGTGGCGACGGCTCGGGGGCTGTCCCGAAAAGGGGTGCATCGGGGGGTGGCCCGGGTTCTCCGGACACGAAGCGTCCTGCCAAGAAACTGAAGACCGCGGTCAGGAAGGTGTCCGCTAGGTCGGCTGCTCGCGAACGCAATCCTGCGGGAGGCGTTCCGCCGGGTGAGGCCTTAGGAGGTGCCAAAGGCAAGGAGGCGATTGGGTCAGCTGGCGGGGATCCCGCCCCAGGGGCTTCCTTGCGCCCGACATCGATGCGAGGCCTGTGTCGCGTCGGTGGGTCGGTCAGCGAGGAGTACCGGACTCCGGGCATGATCAACCTTCCTACTGGTGCGGCGGGAACTCCCTATGTTCCTCGGTGGTCCGCCCTCAAAGCGGACAGCCGTGTGTGGGTTGATGGGTCGATGGCCCAGGAGTTCATCCGGGGTGCGCTGCACCCGATGTTGGCCAAGGAGCTTTACGGCTTGACCTCGGAGGCGTTGGCGGATCGGGCGGCCAAATCCCTGGTCTAGGTGAGTACCGGCACTTTCCTTCCGTTTTTTGGCGACTTCCTGTGGGTCTTGACGTTAGATCTCGGTGCAGGGCCAACATTATGCCATGGCTTTGATCGCCCGGGCCCTTGATGCTGGGCGGGTGATCGAGCGACAATCGAACGCCTTCGCTGCGTTGCGCCTCGAGAACGAAGAGCTAAGGCGGTCGTCTGGCCCGGAGGTTGTAGCAGCCGCCGAACAGCGCGCCTCGGCTTTGGAGGAGGAGGTGAAGCGCTTGAAGTCTGAGTTGGAGGAGAGCCAGGCTCGCGCCCGGACGTTGGACGACGAACTGCAGACGCTCTCCAACGATAGTGAGTCCGCTCGGTCTTCGGCTTGGGCGACTGAGGAGGCCCTGAAGGAAGAGCAGCGAGCACTGCCCGAGTGGCTGGAGAGAGCAGTTGTCGAGTACAAGGCGTCCGCGGGGTTTGAGCGTGGCCTGGTAAGGTCGGGGCGGGTGACATACGAATTCGGCTATCGGGTGGCCTGTGCTCGCGCCCGATCGATTCATCCGGAGTGGGAGCTGGAGCCGGGCCCTTTTGCCGACCACCCTGCGGACGATGGCGTGGACATGCCGGCAAGCGTTCCCTTCGATGACGGGCCCGAGACGCCTCCTCCGTGTTGATATGTATTTCACCTTTTTGCTTTTGGTCGGGTCGGCCTTTGGTCTTTGTATCGCCTTCCCATTGTATGTACAGATCTTTTCTATTGGAGATGGTTCATTTTGACAATTGTTGCGTGAGTTTCTCGTGATACATGCCCTTGTTTGATTTTTCTTTACGGGTAGAACTTCTTCAGATTTGCTGCATTCCAGGTCCTCGGTAGGTGGTTTCCCTCCATAGTTTCGAGTCGGTAGGTTCCTTCTCGGACCATATCGTAGACTCTGTATGGGCCTTCCCAGTTGGGTGCGAGCTTACCCCCCGCCCGGGTCGGGTTGGTTACCTCTGCCTTGCGGAGGACGAGGTCTCTGATCTTGATCGGTCGGGGGCGAACTCTTTGATTGTATATTCGCTCCACGGCCTTTTTATAGGCTAGGGTGCGCAGGTGGGCCTCGGCCCTCCTTTCCTCGAGGAGGTCTAAGTGCGCTCTCAGGCCTTCCTCAGAACCGTCTTGTTTGTAACCCGAGGTGCGAAAGGTTGGGAACA